AGTGTCCTTGTCACTCTGTCTGTGGCCTCACCGTGTTGCTCTGTCTGTCACTGAGTGTCCTTGTCACTCTGTCTGTGGCCTCACCGTGTTGCTCTGTCTGTCACTGAGTGTCCTTGTCACTGAGTGTCCTTGTCACTCAGTCTGTCTGTTACCTCACCGTGTCACTCTGTCTGTTACTGAGTGTCCTTGTCGCTCTGTCTGTTACCTCTCCGCGTCGCTCTCTGTCCATCGCTGACCGTCTTCGTAGCAGCGTCTTCCCATGAGCCCCTTCCCTTGAGTGTCTCTGTCTGTCGCCTTCCTACATCGAAGGAAGTACAAGGACTCTGTTCAACTCCTATTGGTTGGTAAGCGTTCCACGTTGTGTTTCTCATATGTTCGTTATCTTTGGTTATTAGGGTTACTCCTGCTCAATAATTCTAGATATATGGTGCAATTTAGTGTTGTTCATTCATAAATGCAGTTAATTCTTCGTCTTTATCTGTATCTCTATCTTTACCTAATCGCTAACTCTCTACTCATCGTGCGGCCTGGTCATTTAGTTTTGTGTTAACGCCATCCTACACACAAGCGTTCAGCGCCGTTCACTTGTTTACTTGCGCATTCCGACATGTTGCGTGCAGTGTGAAACAATGCATTTTTGGAAAGCCCACCACGACTTGTGTACGAATATATATCAGGGTACCTAGAACATCTGGAAAGTCCTAAACAATTTTCCTAACAAAGTTTTCCAGGTCTGGAAAATTCCTAGAGGGTACATGTTTATCAGGTCGATGTTACACCAGAGATAGTAACATGTTTAATACTGACGATATAACAGTTACTGTTTAGTGTTTATCTTGATTATACAGCATGGTTTATTTTGAGAGGTAAAATCCGTTTTAAGCTTCAATTCTTGGGGGGCCTAAAAATGGACCTGGAAGAGTCATGGAAAACCGCTTTGCCTGGAGTTTACGAACCCTGATATATATATATATATATGTATGTGTATATATATATATATTATATATTGCATGTTGCAAAGTTGCGAGCTTACGAAATGTGCCTACTGCGTGGTGAGTTCGTACACCTGCATTCTCGCGACAGTAGACTGTAGTCTACAGTGAGGGCATAAGTGCACAAGGTTGTTTACGCCCGCCACGCCCTAACACCCCCTCACCTCACCCACCACTAGCCCACCTCAGAAAGCAGTGACAGCTCATGAATGGGGGTTCTCAGCTCATAGGCGCAGACGCGTGGAAACACTTCTCATGTTGATGCCATCTGGTTCATACGGTGTGCAAATAGACTGTGTAAATGCAACCTTGTCCCATCACATCTGTGTCAAACATGCTTTTGAGTCGGGGCTGGCCCCGGTGGGCCCAAGCGCTCAGTAACAGCTCCCGAGCCCAGGCCAACCTAACCGATAGCTTCTAGGTTGGTTGGTATTAGCAGGGGTGACTAATGACAAATAAATCATGCAACCAGATATATTGTAGCTAACACAGCCTGAGGAGTTCTAGAGGGTTGTGACGTAGTGCTTGCGCACACTCTAAGATCTAGCAGTGTTTTCACGTTCGGATGTTGTTTTTGTTCAGGGGAAAGGGTTGAATTCCTTGTGTGTAGATGTACATTACAGTGTAAATAATGGCGCACACTGTAATACAGCTGGCGTTTTTGACCGTATAACAAGTAAACGTCTGCTATTCGTTTTATAATATCGTACATTTTATCAGGAGTCTATCAATATAGGAGTCTATTGATAGACTCTTGATTTTATTAACGTGAATCGTATACTAAATAGCTAATAATCTTAAATTAGTGCAGTACTTACAATTATTGTACATTGTACTTTGTGAAAGTTCCTGCACTTCCACATTCTTCCTCGTGTACCTGTAACCATCATCTCTAATATTGTCATCTCTCCTCCTCCTTGCAATGAGAGAAACTGGACATGTTCTTGTACATTCTCTCATATACACATACATCCACACTGTAAACCTCTCTCTCTCTCTCTCTAACGTGCATCCGATTCTGTGATTCCCTCTCTCTAACCACGTTGTTACCTCCGCCCAACGGAGTTGGAGGAGGTTATGTTTTCGCTTTCGTGTGTTCGTGTGTTAGTGTGTTAGTGTGTTCGCGCGATCGATATTAGCGCGTCAGCCAGCGAGCCAGCGAGCCACCCAGCGCAGCGAGCCAGCGAGCGTGTACCTGTCAGCGAGCAGCAGCAACGAGCGGCTGCTACGAGCGAGCGAGCAGCAAGCCAGCGTGTACATGTCAGTACGCTGGCGTATATTCGTGTGCTCGTGAGTCATATGGCGTATGGTGTATGTCGCTGGCGGAGGTATGCACTCTCCGTGAGTGCACTCTGTCTAGTTTCTCTTTGCAGTAGGGGCAGCTAGACATGTGTATGTACATTCACCCACATACATCTATACTGTAAACTCTCTATTTACATTGTATCTCTGTCACTCTCTCTCCGCCTTCGCTCTCTCTCTCTCTCTCTCTCTCTCTCTC